GCGTAAATGAAAAGGTCGCTGCAACCCCGCTTTCTGGCCCTCGCGGCTTCGGCCGCGAGCCAGTTGCACTTGCTTCGGCCGCGAGCCAGTTGCACTTTGCGCTCCTGTCGCGGCGCCGCAGACGCGGCGCCCGCCGTGGGCGACGCGCGCGCTCGCCGGACCTCGGACAGACCGACTGGCACAGCCCGCGCAGCGAAGTCGACGCAAGTTCGGCGCCCGCGTCGACGTGGACGACAGGAGCGGCAATATCCACGCCGGCCTTCGCCCCCGCAGGAGCGCGCGCGAGGCGCCGGGTCGCCCCGCGCGCGCGCGCGACGCTGCCCGTTTACCTGCCGCGGTCGCGCGTTCCAGCGCGCGGCGGAGAGCGCCCTTCAGCGCTGCTGACGAGCTCTCTGAGCCCACCAGGTCACCCATGCGCGCGCTCGCCAAATGCGCCGCCGCCTTCAGGCTGTTCCGCGCGAGGCGCCCCACCCCTGCCTTTTACTCGATGTCCGACAACTCCGCCCCGCGCACGGGGCCCTGCTTCAGGGAGCCAAGCAGCTCAGCACCCGCCATGGAGGATGAACAACTTAACTTGGCCTGACGAGCGCGAGAAGGCGAATCGCTGGCTCAACAGCCACCCGCGCGCGCCGACTGAGTCGATGCCCCGAGAGGCGCCCACCACGGGGGGGATGCAAGCGACTCGCGCACAAGAGGTATGCCGCAGAAACATGGGGGCGGCCTGAATCACTGGCAATGATACTCCTTATGAAAGTGCGGCCGAGACCTTAGTTTTTCTTAAAACGCTGGGGTCGGTGTGTGTATATATATATATATATATTGTTCTTTGTTTTTCAACTCTTCGCGTTGCGATCGACCCAGAAAGCGGCAACCCAACGCAAGAAGAAAACGACGCCCGCCGGCCCCGAAACAAACAACGAACGAAGAGAAAACAATTTGAAAACGGAAAGCGGCGCGCCAGGGCGTCGAGCAGACGATGCGCTATGCACCGACGGATGCCGGGCCGCGGCGTTATAAGGGCGACCGCGGAAACAGCGCAGGGGGCGACAACCATGATGCAACAATCGCCGATCCACTCCTCCCACGCTTTCGCGGGGAAGGCTTGTGAACCAAACCTCGCGCATTTCCTATGCGCGCGTGCGCGCGCGCGTTTGTGTGTGCGCGTGTGTGTGTGTGTGTGTTGTGTGTTGTGTGTTGTGTGTTGTGTGTTGTGTGTTGTGTGTGTGTGTTGTGTTGTGTTGTGTTGTGTTGTGTTGTGTTGTGTTGTGTTGTGTTGTGTTGTGTTGTGTTGTGTTGTGTTGTGTTGTGTTGTGTTGTGTGTGTGGGTGCGTGCGGGGGGGGGGGGGCGATAGCACCGTCGGTTTTCTTAGTGCGATTGCAGGAGCGGCCGAGCGAGCGTCGACAAGGACGGGAGAGGCCGCCTCAGCACCTGAAATTGTTTTCATGGCGCGAGTCCCGAATGCGTCTGGAATGCAAGACGCGCGCATTAATCTGCGGGTTTACAGTTTACAAATGCTGCGACGGGGCTTGCCCAGACAAGTCGGGCGCCCAATCGGAACCGTCGGACGCGGATGCCTCAGATGACGAATTGCCCCCGTCATCGCCCCCAGGGCCCAGAGGCGGGTCATCCGCAGCGCCCTCTCCGCCGTTGCCCTCGTCTCCGCCCTCCTCGTCTTCCACGTCCTTGGCGTGTTCTAGGGCTTCCTCTTCTCCCTCGTCCGCCAATGGCATCGCGTCCCCCTTCCGAGCCCCCGCCGAGATCAGGGTCCAGGACATCATGAGCAGCGAGCGGCGCGCTGAGGGACTTCTTGACCTTCCTGCGCCTCACCTGCGCCATTGTGTTCCGCTTTAGGTATTTCTCGAGGTGGATCGCGGCTGCGATGCCGACCTCCTTTTCCTTGTTCTGAAAATCCAATCTGCCGCGCTTGGAGCCTCCACGGGTGCACTTTTACATCGGCCCCCGTGTTTTTCACGTGCAAGCCCTCCCCCCCCCCCCCCGCCTCGCACTGCCCCCTTCCTACCCGCCCCCCTCATTCCTCCGGGAACGCAGGCAGCATTGCCGGTTGATTGATCCAGTGCGCGTGCGCTTGCGCATGTGCGTTTACTGCACCGTCGCTGCACTGAGGCACAACGCACTCACAGACACAGAGACTGACGCAAACACAGGCTCATAACCCCCCACCCACCCGCCCACCCACCCACCCACACACGCACACACACACGCACACACAAACACACACACACACACACACACACGCACGCACGCACGCACGCACGCACGCACGCACGCACGCACACACACACACACACACACACACGTACACAAATGCACGCACACTGACTTGCAACACCAGTCATAGTCGCGCTGGGCCCTCCCCGAAGGTGATGGCAAAGCTATGTCGTAACGGCGGGGGCCCCCGTACAGCAGAAAAAAAATCTGTCGTAACGGCGTTGGGGCCTGTCGGATTTGTGTATTGGAACAGGCTCCACAAGCGCTCGTGGTCCGCGATGTCGACCACGTGGCTAAACATGTCAATCATGACGTTCTTGAGGCCTGGGCGCCCGCTCTCCACGGAGGCCTGCTCGTAGAAAACTTCGAGCGTCACTGTATCGCATTGCTTGGTGAGCTTCCCGTCGAGCCAAATCCCTTTTTGGCCGGTGTAATTGCACACTGCGTTTTGGGCCTCGTCCCAGTCGGCACGCGCACGGCCGACTTTGGGAAAGCCTGCATTGCAAGCTCTTTTCAATGTGTGCATCGGGCCGTCCCTTTCTTGCTCGCTGCGCCACTTCAGGATGTTTCGGGGATGGGCTATCGTAGCCGCGATGGTTCGGTCCGTCGGGAGCTCCTGGATTCTGAGAGCGATATGTCGAAACACGTCTTCCTGAGTTTTCTTGGCAGCCTCGCCGCCCTGAAGCTTCTCGCACGCAGTTCCGACGTGCTTCTCCAGGGACGTCCACATCCTCTTCAAAGATGGCAACAAGAAGCCTGCCTTCCCTGGCCTCCTGGCACCACACATCCGCATACTGCGGACAATTGGGCGCAGCACTTTGACGATGTGCTTTTGCTCCTTCCAAAACCGCTTAGACTTGAACTTGCTGCGGATGAGGGTCTTCGTGGCCTGGTCCGGGGCGGCATTGGAGAACTTGGACTTGAACTTCTTTTCGCACACGTACGTTTTCAAATGCTTCTTCAAGCGGATCAAGTGGCTGCTCATGTAGTACGTGCTGCCGAACCTCGCCTTCCTGGCCTTCAAAAGGGTCAAGCGTTTGTCGCAGGTTTCGGTCTGGTAGTCCCTGAAGTCGCTGAGGAGTTTCGGGCGTTTCCGAAAGCCCTCCACTGCTGTATTGGCGTCCGCCGCTGCCTCCGTGAAGCCAGGAATGGGTTTCAGTACATCTCCTATCGTGGAGTGGTGCACGTGGACGCTATCTGGGCCGCCTGCGAGCCCGTCGTCCTCGAGGAGCTTCCAGCTGACCTTTCTCCTCGTTCTCCTCCCACTCTCCTTGTCGTCGTCGTCGTCCTCCTCCTCCTCCTCCTCCTCCTCCTCCTCCTCCCTCTCCCTCTCTGTGCCCGAGTCCGGGGCTATTGACCTTATTCGCGCTGGCTCTGTCCGTGGTGTGCGTGCGGACCTTGCCTGGCCCAGCCACTCTTTCCATGTCGGCCCGCACATCTCGAACATCTCTCGCTAGCGCCTCTCCGTCTTTGGTGCGGCTCCTCATGAGAGCGGTGCTCCAGTACAGACATGTCCCGCTGATGCCCTCCACGTAAAGGAAGTTGAGCATTGATTCGTACATCTTCCCACGACACCCGTCGCTTACAATCCCCCCAGGCCCCATCGCCTGAAGGATCGTGTCCCTGGCTTGTATCCGCTCCTCTGGCACGAAGGGGGGGAGTGCAAGGAGAAAGGGGGAGGAGGAATGACAACAAGAGGAATGACGAGATGGATGAGGACAAGAGTGCATGGTGGAAGGGGGACGATGAGGGTGGATGTCTTTGTGCAGCTCGTCGCGGAGGCTCCCCACCTCGTTTCTGGAGGGAGGCTCATAGGTGGGGTTCAGGCTCTTGAGGAAGGATGTGTAATGCTCCTCTATCTCTTTGTTCACCGCGAGCCCACCCTTAGCGATCCCTGTTTGCACTTGCATCTTCTGCATGTTTCCCAGCTCAGACGGGGTGATGGCTCTCACGCTGGTGCCCTCCTTCTTGAGGTCTGGTTGAGGCTTCTTGAGCAAGGTGAGGTTCACGTGCGATGCGAGCCTCTTCTGGAATTCGTTCGCCAGGGGCACCTTCGCCTCAACGAGGTGGCGGAGCTCTTCTTGAGTTACTTGCGGGTCCGAGCACAACTTGACCTCTCCCTGGGTGCTCAGCAGGATGTGTTGCAGTGCACGGGGGTTCACCATCCCCTTGAACTCACACTGGCAAATTTTGCACGTAAGCTTGCACAGCTTCTGCTTGAATTCCGGCGCGGGCGCCGGCACCGCGGCTACGTCCGCAGCCGCAGGGGCAACGTCTTGAATAGGTGTTGGTTTCGCCTCAGCCTTTGCTTTAGTCTTGCCAGCCGGTGCTTCGGGCCCCCCACCCTCTATTGGCAGCTTCTTCCGGCCGCCTCGTCCTGGATTCTCCGCGGGCGCGTCCACGACGTGGAAATGTGCGTCCACGAAGTCTTTCACAGTCACCCTGGTCACGCTCTGCTTGTTCCTGGCCGCCATGGCGCGGCGCGCCCGGCGCGCCCGGCGCAGCGAAGCGCGCCGACAGCCCGCAGATCTTGAGCCAACGCGTCCGCGAGGAAACGGAGGGCGGCAACCTCCGCGCCAGTCTGATGGTTAAAAGCGCATTAAAAACGTATCAAAAAAAAAAGGGTCCGCGGTCCGGCGGAGCAGGGGCCGATCCCGGATTTGAAAATAAAAAAAACGGTACCTGTGTTCCGACGCCATGTGATCCAGTGCGTTTGCCGGGCGCCACGCGCCGCCAGCCCCGCGGGCGCGCGCCGCGCGCCTGGCGCGCCATGGCGGCCAGGAGCAAGCAGAGCGTGACCAGAGTGACCGTGAAAGACTTCGTGGACGCACACTTCCACGTCGTGGACGCGCCCGCGGAGAATCCAGGACGAGGCGGCCAGAAGAAACTGCCAATAGAGGGTGGGGGGCCTGAAGCACCGGCTGGCAAGACTAAAGCAAAGGCTAAGGCGAAACCAACACCTATTCAAGACATTGCCCCTGCGGCTGCGGACGTAGCCGCGGTGCCGGCGCCCGCGCCGGAATTCAAGCAGAAGCTGTGCAAGCTTACGTGCAAAACTTGCCAGTGTGAGTTCAAGGGGATGGGGAACCCCCGTGCACTGCAACACATCCTGCTGAGCACCCAGGGAGAGGTCAAGTTGTGTTCGGACCCGCAAGTAACTCAAAAAGGGCTCCGCCACCTCGTTGAGGCGAAGGTGCCCCTGGCGAACAAATTCGAGAAGAGTCTCGCATCGCACGTGAACCTCACCTTGCTCAAGAAGCCTCAACCAGACCTCAAGAAGGAGGGCACCAGCGTGAACGCCACCACCCCGTCTGAGCTGAAAAACATGCAGAAGATGCAAGTGCAAACAGGGATCGCTAAGGGTGGGTTCGCGGTGAACAAAGAGATAGAGGAGCATTACACATCCTTCCTCAAGAGCCTGAACTCCACCTATGAGCCTCCCTCCAGAAACGAGGTGGAGAGCCTCCGCGACGAGCTGCACAAAGACATCCACCCTCATCGTCCTCCCTTCCACCATGCACTCTTGTCCTCATCCATCTCGTCATTCCTCTTGTTGTCATTCCTCCTCCCCCTTCCTCCTTGCACTCCCCCCCTTCGTGCCAGAGGAGCGGATACAAGCCAGGGACACGATCCTTCAGGCGATGGGGCCTGGGGGGATTGTAAGCGACGGGTGCCGTGGGAAGATGTACGAATCAATGCTCAACTTCCTTTACGTGGAGGGCGTCAGCGGGACATGCCTGTACAGGAGCACCGTTGACATGGGGAGCCGCACCAAAGACGGAGAGGAACTAACGAAAGTTGTTCGAGAGGTGCGGGCCGACATGGAAAGAGTGGCTGGGCGAGGCAAGGTCTGCACGTGTATCACGGACAGAATCAGCGCGAATAAGGTCAATAGCCCCGGACTCGGGCAGAGAGGGGGAGAGGGAGGAGGAGGAAGAGGAGAGGGAGGAGGAGGAGGAGGTGGAGGAGGAGGAGGAGAAGGACGACGACGGCGACGACGAGGATAGTGGGAGGAGAACGAGGAGAAAGGTCAGCTGGAAGCTCCTCGAGGACGACGGGTTCGAAGGCGGCCCAGATAGCGTCCACGTGCGCCACTCCATGATAGGAGATGTGCTGAAAGCCATTCCTGGCTTCGCGGAGGCAGCGGCGGACGCCAATACAGCAGTGGAGGGCTTTCGGAAACGCCCGAAACTCCTCAGCGACTTCAGGGACTACCAGACCGAAGCCAGCGACAAACGCTTGACCCTTTTGAAGGCCAGGAAGGAGAGGTTCGGCAGCACGTACTACATGAGCAGCCGCCTGATCCGCTTGAAGAAGCATTTGAAAACGTACGCGTGCAGAAAGAGGTTCAAGTCCAAGTTCTCCAAAGCCGCCCCGGACCAGGCCACGAAGACCCTCATCCGCAGCAAATTCAAAGCCAAGCGGTTTTGGAAGGAGCACAAGCACATCGTAAAAGTGCTGGGCACCATTGTCCGCAGTATGCGGATGTGTGACGCCAGGAGGCCAGGGAAGGCAGGCTTGCTGTTGCCATCTTTGAAGAGGATGTGGACGTCCCTGGAGAAGCACGTCGGAATTGCGTGCGAGAAGCTTCAGGGCGGCGAGGCTGCCAAGAAAACTCAGGAAGACGTGTTTCGACATATCGCTCTCATAATCCAGGAGCTCACGACGGACCGAACCATGGCGGCTACGATAGCCCATCCCCGAAACATCCAGAAGTGGCGCAACGAGCAAGAGAAGCACGGCCCGATGCACAAATTGAAAAGAGCTTGCAATGCAGGCTTTTTCGAAGTCGGCCGTGCGCATGCCGACTGGGACGAGGCCAAAAACGCAGTGTGCGATGACACCAGCCAGAAAGGGATTTGGCTCGACGGGAAGCTCATTAAGCAATGCGAGACAATGACGCTCGAAGCTTTCTGGGAGCAGGCCTCCGTGGAGAGCCCATGCCCAGGCCTCAAGAACGTCATGATTGACATGCTCAGCCACGTGGTCGACTCCGCGGACAGCGAGCGCTTGTGGAGCATGCTCCAACACACGGATCCGAAAGGCTCCAAGGCAGGGAAACTTGGGGCCCAACGCCGTTACGATAGGTTTTTTTTTCTGCTGTATAGGGCCCCCGGGCCCCCCCCCGCCGTTACGACGTAACTTTGCTATTACATTCGGGGAGGGCCCAGCGCGGCTGCGACTGGTGTTGCAAATCAGTGTGCGTGTATTTGTGAACGTGTTTACTCCACCGTCACTGCACTGACGCACAACGCACACACAGACACAGGCGTAGACACAGACGCATACACGGACACACACACACACACACACACACGTGCGCACACACACACACACACCGACACACGTACACGCACGCGAACACGTATACGCAATGGATTGGCGACGGTGTTCAACCGAGGCTCTTCAGTTCTCTTTCCCAGAGAGGATGTTGGTGTTGGTGTCGGGTTCCGGTGCGCCGACTAGAAAATGCGGCGGGTTCCCGTCGCGACGACGTGGGCGTTGCCTGCGTTCCTGAAGGGATGCGGGGGACGGGTAGGAAGGCCACGGAGGAGGGAGGGGGAGTCGGGCGTGAAAGACATGCGGTCCTCTGCAAAAGTGCACCCGTGGAGGCTCGAAACGCAGCAGATTGGATTTCCAGAACAAGGACAAGGAGGTCGGCATCGCAGCCGCGATCCACCTCGAGAAATACCTAAAGCGGAACACGCTGGCCCATGTGAAGCGCAGGAAGGTCAAGAAATCCCTCAGCGAGCCGCTCGCTGCTCATGGCATCCTGGACCCTGATCTCGGCGGGAGCTCGGAGGATGACGCGCTGCCCTTGGCGGATGAGGGAGAAGAGGAAGCCGTAGAACACGCCATGGACGTGGAAAGCGAAGAGGAAGCATCCGCTTCCGACGGTTCCGATTGAGCGCCGGGCTCGCCAGTGCGTCACCGAAGGGAGGCGGGAAACGGGCGGGGATGGGAGGTGCACTTGTGAGGGAATGGAGGGATGAATGGAAGGGGGCCCGAAGCGACTGCCACGTCAGTGCTGTGTCGGCCGATCGTGTTCTGGCGCGGCGTGCCATGAGCAAAAGCAATCTGGAGCTGGAGGTTTCCAGGGCCCGAGTTCCAGCCACGTTCGCAGGACAGCCGTCTTGCAGGCTGGCTTTTGTGGAAACAATGCTACGCAACATGATTTACATCAATGTGCGAAGATGCCATGTTTCTGTACGCAGCGTGCCACACGACTCAAGAGCCCTAAACGGCGATGGATGCTGGCATGGAGGCGACAGCAGGGGGAGAGGAGCACAAGGCCAAGAGGAGGAAAGACAATAGGATTGCAATGCTACTCCACACACGCCCCAAACTCTTGTTGGTCTTGTGGTCCCTTACCTACACCTCCTCACTCACAGAATACGGATATGCATGTAGAACATAAAGAACATGATGACGATGTCCGCTAGGCTGAACAGCACACGGTTCGCGAGCCACCGCGGATACAGACACCTGTCTCTTGCTTTGACTGTATATGAAGTGTGAGCATGATGAGGTGAGCGTAAGTGTTAGCACGCTGCTTCACTGGATTTCGTAATCTGAACATGGGTGCAGGCGCTGAGCACAACACTCTACACGCCGCTGCTCTGTGCAGGGTCTGACCGCGTTTTGCTTTGACGGTTGCGGGTCTTCGGGTCCAGCCGGTGCTTCTCTAGCGTCGCGGTCTCCTCTGTGATGCACAACCGGCCAGTGCGCATCATTATCTGTAGTAGTGGAAGATTACCGTTGCGCTTCGTCATGGCGTCGGCGTGCATCCCTGAATGGTCATGCCATCGGACGGTCCCGTTCTGCGCGTCCAGAGAGGAGCGAATAATCTGCATCTCGATCGCCGTCCTGCGGTCGGCTGTGCACCCAGCACTCTCGCTGTTCAGGTGATCGCACAGAGACTTAGCGTCGCATATAGTCATCAACTGTTGCAACTCTTTGTTCGGATCTGCTGTCCGGCCGGCCACGAGCAGGCCTCTGTGACGCGCGCGGGACGCCCAATTGACGATATCAAAAGAGGGTTCCACCAACTCCTCGAACAGACCCCGCACCCACTCGACGTCCGCTAGGGCTTCCGACATTGATTGCGTCTCTGCCGCAAGAGTGCTGGCAGCAATCCGCGGCAAACGGTGGGACTTGTAAGACACCAAGGCAACAGGGGCTGCCTCGTAATCCCACAGCGCTGGGGTCGCGGCGCCGACTAGGAAGGCCCCTTGGCTCTTGTCGCCGGCGGCGTTCGCCCAAGAAGCGTCCTAGATAGTCACCCACCGTAGCAGATGCAATGGCACGTGCGGAATGAGAATACCGAGCTTGGGTTCCCTCTTCAGAATTGCCACACAATTACTCCGACGGAAGAACCCCACATAATAATCCTCTGGGCGAATCTGGAAAAAGCCATCACCGTCGTCCTCGCGGTTGGTGACGCGTCCTGGCTGTCTCTTCTGCGTATATTTCCTCTCGCCTTGGCGCGGGCCCCCCTTCCACTCCTTACGTTGTCCCCATCCTCGCCCCCCTGTTTGTTCCGCGCCCCGCCACCTCCTCCCCTTCCTGTTGCATGAGCGCGCATGTCGATGTTCCTCGGCGCCGTCGCCGCCACGGCCAGCGCAGGCGCGTTCTCTACTGGTCACGTCGCGCAGCCGTTGGGACAACCCCGCGGGCCAGGCTGTCGGGACAACCCCGCGAGCCGCTGGCGCGCAAGACCAAGCCGTTGGGACAACCCCGCGGGCTTCGAGCGAGGCGCAGCCGCGCTCAGGCGGAAGGCAGCACGAAGCCCAGCTCTGCCGCGAGCTGCTTCGCCTCCGCCCTGGACAAAACCGCTCTCTTGTCGAACTCCAGGAGCGCCTTCCGCAGGGACGCCGGCGGCCCGCACTCCAGGAACTCTCGCGGCGGCGGCCGCAGGATCAGCATGTTCCGCATGCACGTGGCGCGGGAGAACATGACGTAGAGGTGCAGCCACCACTGCTCGTCCGACATGCCCGTGCGGCCAGCGTCCTCGTCTCTCGCGCAGTCGATGGTGACGCCCTTGCGCAGCGTCTGGCCCTGCGACAGCGTGGAGGTCAGGTAGGACGCGTGCGTCAGGGTGAACCCCGAGCGGCGCACGCTGTGCGCCCCCGAGCTCTGCCATGTGAACTCCCTTTCGCTGGGCCTGAACATCAGCAAGCTCCGCGCCCGCGCCTCGATCTCCCGCCTGAGACTTCCTCGCAGTTCACTCACAGACGAGGCTCCCGCCTGAGACTTCCTCCATATTCAGGCTTGAGGAGCCCAAAAATGACGACAGTTACAGGGTTCCGATGACCCGCTCGGATTACCAACATGATCTGCGGGCCCCATAGGGAGGGGGCTCCCGCCTGAGACTTCCTCACAATTCACTCAGAGACGAGGCTCCCGCCTGAGACTTCCTCCAAATTCAAGCTTGATGAGCCCAAAAGTGACGACAGTTACAGGGTTCCGATGACCCGCTCGGATTACCAACATGATCTGCGGGCCCCATAGGGAGGGGGCTCCCGCCTGAGCCTTCCTCAGAATTCACTCACAGACGAGGCTCCCGCCTGAGACTTCCTCCAAATTCAAGCTTGAGGAGCCCAAAAGTGACGACGGTTACAGGATTCCGATGACCCGCTCGGATTACCAACATGATCTGCGGGCCCCATAGGGAGGGAGCTCCCGCCTGAGACTTCCTCCCAATTCACTCACAGACGAGGCTCCCGCCTGAGACTTCCTCCATTTTCAGGCCTGGGGAGCTCAAAAGTGACGACAGTTACAGGATTCCGATGACCCGCTCGGATTACCAACATGATCTGCGGGCCCCATAGGGAGGGGGCTCCCGCCTGAGACTTCCTCACAATTTACTCAACGATGATGAGGATGAGGATGATGAGTGGTGGTGAAGATGAGTGGTGAAGAGGATGATGATTGATTGTGAGTGGTGGTGGCGATGATGATGTTTGAATGAGGATGATGCCGATGCCGGTGATGATGATGATGATGATGTTCGTGAGCGTGTGAGAGAGTGCGAGTGATGATGATGATGAGTATGTGAGTGACTAAGCATGTGAGAGAGCATCATCGATGATGCTGATGAGGTTGATGATGAGAGAGTGTGAGTGAGTGTGAGTGGGTGTGTGTGCGTGTGTGCGTTCCTGTTCCTGCGCGGGGTGCCCAGAGAAAACAATAACCCCACTTTGAATGTGGGGAAAAATTGACGACAGTTACAGGGTTCCGATGACCCGCTCGGATTGCCAACGTGATCTGCGGGCCCCATATGGAGGGGGCCCCCGCCTGAGACTTCCTCGCAGTTCACTCACAGACGAGGCTCCCGCCTGAGACTTCCTCCATATTCAGGCTTGAGGAGCCCAAAATTGACGACAGTTACAGGATTCCGATGACCCGCTCGGATTACCAACATGATCTGCTGGCCCCGCAGGGAGGGGGCTCCCGCCTGAGACTTCCTCACAATTCACTCAGAGACGAGGCTCCCGCCTGAGACTTCCTCCAAATTCAGGCTTGACGAGCCCAAAAGTGACGACAATTACAGGTTTCCGATGACCCGCTCGGATTGCCAACATGATCTGCGGGCCCAATAGGGAGGCGGCCCCCGCCTGAGCCTTCCTCAGAATTCACTCACAGACGAGGCCCCCGCCTGAGACTTCCTCCAAATTCAGGCTTGAGGAGCCCAAAAGTGACGACAGTTACAGGATTCCGATGACCCGCTCGGATTACCAACATGATCTGCGGGCCCCATAGGGAGGGAGCTCCCGCCTGAAACTTCCTCCCAATTCACTCACAGACGAGGCCCCCGCCTGAGACTTCCTCCATTTTCAGGCTTGACGAGCCCAAGAGTGACGACAGTTGCAAGTTTCCGATGACCCGCTCGGATTACCAACATGATCTGCGGGCCCCATAGGGAGGGGGCTCCCGCCTGAGACTTCCTCACAATTTACTCAACGATGATGAGGATGGGGATGATGAGTGGTGGTGAAGATGAGTGGTGAAGAGGATGATGATTGATTGTGAGTGGTGGTGGCGATGATGATGTTTGAATGAGGATGATGCCGATGCTGGTGATGATGATGATGATGTTCGTGAGCGTGTGAAAGAGAGTGCGAGTGATGATGATGACGAGTATGTGAGTGACTAAGCATGTGAGAGAGCATCATCGATGATGCTGATGAGGTTGATGATGAGAGAGTGTGAGTGAGTGTGAGTGGGTGTGCGTGTGTGTGTTCCTGTTCCTGCGCGGGGTGTCCAGAGAAAACAAGAACCCCACTTTGGATGTGGGGAATCATTCGCATCAGACAGGCCCTGCACCGCACTCACACGAATTCTTGCCATACCTAGGGAAGCGAGCCCAGATGCATCTGGGCGCGTCTCTCTCTCTGAACCCAATTCACACCACCCCACACAGCTCGTAGTTGAGACTGCTCACCGTCAGTGGTGGGGTCGTTCTTGTTAGACTTGCGCCCCCTGGGAATGGTGATGGGAGAGAGGCGTTCGACGACGAACTTCGCCTGGTGGATGTGGAATCCGTAGTCCCTGTGCTGTTGCATGGTCCGTCCAGCGTAATCACCCTCGCCGCAGTAGTTCGTTTTCCATTTGCCAAACCGAAGGCGTTGTTGTAGACATCGCATCTTCTCGTCGTGAACGCTGTTTCCGTGAGCAGCAATGTCATCAACTTCTACGAACAAATGTCCGTCTGGGCCTTTGGGCGTCATCAAACAGAAAACACGCGGGTCGTAACACGACCTACGGCACCCGAGATCTTCGATTGCACGCACCAGCGTCTTGCGCCAAGCGGCCGGTGCATTGACGAGTCCGTACACAGCGGTGTTGAGCTGGATCAGAGAGCCGGCCTCCACCCAGGCCCCGTCCTCGAGCGGGATCCCGCTAGGCGGGAGAGAAGCGCGCAACTTGCCACGCGGTCTGTCGCCGTGGTCTTTGTCGCTCTGCATGAAGGCCGTCTTCAAATCACCAAATGTAACCTCGCGCTGTAAAGACGCAGCCACAAGTAAAAATACGTACGTGCTACTGGTTTGGGGTGTAGGACTCGCTCCTGCTAGCCACGATGTCGGGGCCCCTGTGCCCCAACACGCACCAGCGGCACTTTGCCATTGGAGAAGAGCCTAAACCTTCGCTTGGTTTGTCTGAGTACACGCAGCGAGAAGGAAGAACGCAGCCCGGGTGGTGTTTGCGGACGTCGTCAGCAACACGTGGAGAAATGATGGTCGCAGCTCCTGTCGGTAACACAGACTTCCACTCCTTCGCAGTCGCCTCGTGGAAGCGCGGCCACTGATAATGTGATATTTTGTGTCATGGTATCTCGCTCCTGCGCTGCATTTTGGCAGCTGTCAGCCCTGTGGCTCTGTCCTTGTCAAGCAACACATTGCACAATATATTGTCTGCAATGCCACTGAACAACTCTGCAACCTCCCCCTCGTAGAACAATACTGGTGCACCCGTGTTCTCCCACGCTGCCTCCTCCACTGACCTCCTCCACCATCCTTCGTCGTCGTCCTCCTCGCGCGTATGATGATGAGATGATGTAGGTAGCGTTGGTTTATTGCACTGGTCGGGTGTGTGTGCGTGTGTGTGTGTGCGTGTGTGTGTGTGTGGGGATTTCGGCGCGGGAAAGTCGGCTACGCGACGGGCAATACATCGCGCGGGCGCGGGCGCGCAAACGATCGAACATGCACCCCTCGCAGGCTGCGAGATGGAGAAGCATCGGCCACGCGCGCATGGTCGTTCAATCGCGCTCAAACTCAAGAGTGCAGATCGAAGTGCGCCCGCATTTGGCACGCGCACCCAAAGACGAATACGTTAAACAAACGCGAGACCCAGACGCCCGCGCGCCAGGCCAAGTAGAGCGCGCGAGAGGCGGCCGCATAATCAGCAGCACGCGGTGTCCGAGGCTAATTGGCCCCATGGGCAATGCACGCAAAGGCGTGCGAGAGAAACAATGTCGAAATCCTCGAGATGACAACAGAGACCTCTCCGCTACCATGTGCATTTGCTATGGGTGGCATTGCCTCCGTTGTCCCAGCCGCGGCCTGGGCCCAATACTGAGCCTAACAAGTGGCGTTAGGGGAACGCCACGCTCGAGCCAGACGATGTCTTGATCCAAAATGGCGACGTGGAGGAGCAGGGGGAGGGCGAGGAGGAGGAGGAGGACGAGGAGGGGGAGGAGGAGGGGGGGGGGGGGGCGGCGGGATGGGGTGGGTGGGAGGAGGGCCCGAAGACCAACTACCACAGCCGAACCTTTAGGAACGGGAGCGGGCCGAAACAGAAGGCGCCCGCAGGGCGCCACATGTAGATCAGCCAGCAGGCCGATCGCAAACGCAGTGACGCCCAGACATCACCAATGCCCAAGTGAGAGGCCTGAGGGGTCGGATGGGCGGCAGCCTGGAGCCCAGGAAAACAACGCCGACGAGGTTGGGGCCCCAGGGGCATTTCCCACAGGGCGAGGGCGTAGGCGGGAGGCCTAACCCGAGGGCAGGGCGGGCCAGCGAGGGGAGACCCTCGCTGGCCCACCTCTGCTTACCACCTCGCCTGGGTGCGGTAGGGAACATCAAATCGAACGTCGAGCGAACGAATGACTGACAGTTGCGGCTCTGACGTTGCCGTGGAAACTCACGCTCTTTTTCTCGCCACTGGACTGCCTGGCTACTTCCAAGGCGCATCGTCGGACAAACGCATCACGATGCGAGTCGCATCGGGTCGCAAACCCTGCCCGAGAAGATGGGCGCGGGATGCCCCCTCGGCTGCACGCGTCAAGCGACAGGCCGATCGCCCCCCCAGGGGCCCCAGCCGCGGGCCCCAGCCCCGCGCTACGGCCGCGCAGCCGGCAGCAAGAACTGTTCGATCTGCCGGGCGAAGGGCTTGTAGTTCGGCCCCATGTCAGGGTGCATTGTGATCGTCTGCTTCACGAGGCCCTTGATCATGTCGAGCTCCTCCTTATTCTGATTCATGTGGCCCCAGCGGATGCCCAGGCACACTTCATTGTCGATAGTGCGGTCCCACCAGATCGCGAAGATGTAACCGGCTGGGATGACGAGCAGGGGGCCTGGCGAGTCATGCTGAACGCAGAAGCCGCGTTTCTGCTCGAGCAGCTTCTTGATGGCGTCGACGCCGTTGGTCGACCCAAGCCCCTCCAGCTTGTCCTCGAGCGTGGCCCCGCGCACCTGCGGACGCGGCGCGGAAATGAGGGCCGAGAGCGAAGGCTGCCCTCGCCAGATGCCCTTCTATCGGCAGGAGGCCGCTCGAGGATTAGGGGGGGCAGGAGCATGAAGAGGAGGAGGGAGGCAGAGGAGAGGGAGGAGGGCGAGGGAGGTCGGGGAGGAAGACGGGGTCTACGTCGAAGGTCTACGGGCACACGCAGCAGCATTTTTAGCGATCCCGACCTTGTCGATCTTCACGCCAGCGCAGAAGTACGAGCCAGACTCGAGGAGGCGCACATCGGAGACGCAGAAGGGCGTGACCCCGATCTGACCGAACTGCTCGGTGAAAACCCACTGCTGACTGCCAAGCGCAGCATCGCCGCAATAGTCTGCGGAGAAAGGGGGCTTGCACTTCGAAGACGGGAGGTGCTTCACGAGGATCGCGTCGATTGTCCTTGCAACTCCAGGCTTGAAGTCGGAGTGGATGACATGTAAGCTTGTTTTCTTCATCTCTTTCTGGACCCACTTGGAGTAGGCCTTGACGCCCGCGAGCTTATCGAACGCCGTCATCAGCGGGGCGGGGCCATTCACCAAGCACGGCGTCAGCTCCATCAAGCCCTTCGCCAGATCGTCGATCACCCCAACGCCTCTCCCGCTATCCTGGTCGGCAAAGGCCTGTAGAGGCTTCAATGGGGCTCTCGGGGATACCCTTGGACTTCTTGTCCGCCGTCTTCTTGCTCGCCTCCTTCTTGGCCAGCCCGTGCGCCTTCTTGAAGGCGTTGATCGAGTTCAGGACGTTCTTCGAGTGGATGGTGGAGACCACGCGCAGCTGCTCGACAATCCTCTTGCGCGCATCATCGGAGCTTGCGCCGTCCTCGCAGAGCATCTCGCACTTCGTGTCAGTCAGCTTCTTCTGGAGCTCCACGACCTTCTCGGCGGCTTTCTTCACCTCATCCTCCATCGCGCCAGCAAACCTTCTGCAGGTCATCGGGAAGGGAGTTCGAGAACGCAGCCTTGGCCTCTTCGAGAATCTCCTTGGCATCGCGATCGTACTTCGAAGCGACGTCGCCCAGCCACCCCGTCTTCTCCCTCAGCACCGCGGCTACGTCAGCGAGCACTTGGGCTCTGCTCTTCTGGGGCCGACCGACGGGCCGCCCAACAGAGGCAGCGCTTTGCTTCTTGATCTTGAGTGCCTCCTCTGCCGCGTGCAAGTCCGCCTCGTCCATCTCCCGGACTGCCGCCGCGGCGTGGCCGGCCACGGTCGTGTCTTTGCGGGTGGCCTCGAGCCCGCTGGATGAAGGAGCGCTCATGCCGACGGGGGTCTCCACGTCGATGTCGTCAGCCAAGTCCGCGGGCATGGGCACGTTGGACGAGACGTGGTTGTTCATGCCTTGCAGCCAGCGGCCCATTGAAGATGAGCGCTGCTCACCAAGCGCAGCCGCTTCCCTGACCCCGCCCGCGTCCTCAATCATCTTCTGGCGCTTGCACGCCTGCCTCTCTTCCTGCGACTTGCCACTCCCGACGCGGGCGCCCTTGAAGACACCCAGGCAAATATGGTTACGAATATTCCTCTTGGCGGTCGAAGGGCCCCCACATTTCTCCTCGAACGGCGCGATGGCAGCTGCGGTAGTCAAGCCGTCTTGGAGCTGCTTCTCGCGAATGACCCACTCGTCCTGCGGCAAGTAGTCGTGCAAGTCCGCGTCGTTCATGAAAGCGGCCTTCGAGGACTCCTCCTCGTATATACCGTCGTCGAAGGACTTCTTCTGGCCAGCAGCGTGAATCTTTTTGTTCCGCCTGTACCAGTCCACCCTGGCGGGCCTGTCCATGCCCTCAGCTCGAAAACGGCAACAGAATCGCAGACACTGCGACGCGACGCAGAGGGCAGCAGTACAATGACGTTTTGTCTGCCAGATGCTTGCGGGCAAACGGTAGTGCGTGCGCGTCCGTGCGCGTGCTGTGTGATGCGCGAATAATGCGCGTGCTGCGTGGCTCTTGTTGATGGCGGCGTGTGCTGTGTGATGTGTGTTGCTGGTGGTGTTAGTGCTGTGCGTTTTCTGGTTAGTGGTGGCGTGTGCTGTGTGAGTTTTGTTGCTGGTTGTGTTCTTATGCGTTCGTAATGATGGTGCGCATTGCGTGGGGTCCGAGGCCCAGCAAACAATCATCCTACTCATCCTCCCTCCCCCTCCTTCTTCCTCATTATCCCTCCTCCTCGAGATCCGTGGCAAAGTAAGGCCATGGCATTCCACCGCGCTTTGATCTTGGCTCCAGTGATCGGGGCCTTCATGCGCTCGAGGTTCCTGTTGTAGTTGGACGTGCACGCTTTGCGCGAGTGCGATAGCTGCGCAGGCGGAGGAGGAGAGCAACTTGAAAAAAGGAAAACCTGGATTCCCCTTTTTATTTCAAGATGGCGGATGAAGGTGCTGAGGGCGCCGATGACGCGGACGGGCCGCGGTGGGGGGGCGAACCGCCCCCCACCCACCGCCCGTCGCGGCACGCCAGGCCACAAAAGGCCCAGCCGCGGCCCCAAAGGACCAGCCCAGGAGGGGCCCACGAGGAGGAGAGGAGGAGGGCCCCTGAGAATGCGCAACACGTTCTTAATCACGTTTAAACATGTTGGGAGGAGGAGGAGAAGGAGGAGGAGGAGGAGGAGGAGGAGGAGGGGGACCTTGGACCACTGCGAGAGCTCGCTGAGAACGCAGTCCCCCTCGCAGTTACAGCGCCGCCGAAGAGCGACACCAACCGGATGCGATGACACCAGACCGCTCATGTGACACGGAGAGCAGGCTGCCTGCGCGCTTGAACTTGAACCCTTGACAGGGGTCACCGCCGGCATTGGGAAGGCTCGAGTCTCGAGCAGTATTTTGGGGGAGACTCGAGCAGGGGAATGGCTTTGGAAAGCATCGTCAAGCAGGGGAATGGCTGCGCTTTGGAAAGGCTCGTACAGCCGAGAGAGATACCACTCGCGACGAAACCAGAAACCCCTGTTCTAGGGCTCTGAGGGGGAAGGGGGCCAGCTTACTTTATCCTCTAGAGCTCCCTACGAAGAAGGATGCCACGCCAATTGATATCTACACACGTTTTCTCGTGTCCTCAAGCGTCCGTTTTCTCTTTTTTGGTCGCTGACGAGGGGCCGACAGGCCCTAAACCATGTCCCGTCCGGAGAGAGGGACCCGCTTGAAAAGTAGAAAGGATGCAAGGGTGATTGGACCGCAGGGCTTATCCCACCATGTGGGATAACACGTTTTCGTAGCAGGCGTCATAAGTCCCGCTGCGACGTAAACCAGGACCGACCCTTGGACCTCCCTGAAAGGTAGAAGGGTGCAAGGATGATTGGACCGCGGGGCTCATCCCACCATGTGGGATAACGCGTTTCCGCAGCAGGGGACACCCGGGATATACATATGTCCACCGCCACCATCGCAGGGCAACATTGAGACACCCGTACCGCAAGCTCTACTCTACCGTGGAGGTGGACGAGACGAGGAGGACGAGGCCCTCCCAGATATCCGACGTCGTGAATTTGTCAGCGCTGGGGCCCAGGAGGTTCCGAAAACATCCCAGGGCGGGGCTCCTTTGCCCAGCGTTGTTCTCCCAATGGTTTTGGTCCATCTGGTTTTTCGGGTGGCATTTTGCCCAGCGCGGTTCCCCCGATGGTTTTGACCAACGCGGTTCCCCGAATGGTTGGACCAACGCGGGTCTCCCGAGAGGGTCGACGAACGTCTCTCTTTCGGGGGGGCTGGCGAACCAGGTTTCTCCCAAGGGGCGGGGGGGGGAGGGGGGCAGTGGAGGTGGAGAAGGGCCCAAGAGGAAGCCCTCACTGGGCCCTCGCAAGGCTCCAGGAAAGCTCAGAAGGAGCCCCGGCCGCCACTGGGGAGGAGTAGCGGGGGGGGCAAGGAACGAAACGACCCCCCCCCCCCAAGCAAAAAAAGAAGTACTGGATCCACCGACGGAGGAGCTGGACGGGATATGGTCTTCATCTACTCCCCCGTGGAATTCAACAATTCAGCGCGCGCGCCTGCCTGCCACGTCAGAAGCAATGGCAACATCACTGAACCAATCAGTGGGACGGGAATGCAGTTTCCTACGGCTACATCAACTGCAGACCCATTGGTATCGATCAATTGTTGCATGGATGCTGGAACAATACCCGCTAGTCGGCACTTCTCTGAGTGCCTCAAAAGTCTCCCACGGGGGCCAAACTCCTCAGTATGCGTCGTGGGGGGCAAGACCCAGAGAGTTGAGCAATTTGTCCTGCGTGTCCTCGAAGAGCCAATGGAAAACGAAGACTCCACAGTCCGGGCGGGGTCTCTGGCCACGTCAAATATCCCTGGCTCTTCGCGATGATGTAGCGACCATTCCGCTGCTTGCCAATCGAGATTGCACTGCTGCCGAAAACTCAAACGGTTGATGCATTCATCGTCCCGAACTTTGTCCAGGAAGTCAATGAGGGGCACGCTGGGGAACCTTTGGGGGCCTTGTCTCAGCAGTCTCTTCTGAAGGGGCAATCTCCTCATCCACGGGGGCGCCCCGATGAAGAAGACACTTGGTCTGGATTGTGGCACCATGAAAGTATGTGCATTCTCTTGCCAAGTCTCAATGTGCCAATATGCCAAGCGTTGGTCGCCCGCCATTTTACCGATCCATCTCTCGCCGAAAGACTTACCGCCCTTGCGTTTCGAAAAGATGCCCCGAACATTCTCCATAATGAACCACTTGAGGCAGCCTCGCGTCGCGAGTTCAATTGCCCAGTTTTCAGCAACGGCGTTCCATACATCCGATCTAGGATCGTGCTCCCCACCCCCAGCCCCCATGCCCGAATAAGGAGGACGAGGAGGCCCAGCAACAAGACCATCTGAATCCTCCAGCTCACTCACAGGCACTGAAGTAACATCGCATTGGACGCGGCCCAGATGCAAAGCCGAAGCCCCGCCTAATCGTTCGAGGACGCCTCGTAGATCATTGCGCGTATCATACACGTTTACGCTCCGAAAGGTGCTCATGCCTAGTTCCATGGCTGCGCGCTGTCGCGAATTGATGCCAACGCACGGCGACGAGACCCTGCAAGGGATATCGACGCGGGTATCTTGCAGCCGAGCTCTCCCAGCCGACGCCCAAGCTGCATCAGCATAAACTGGGCCCGATTCGCCAAGGTCTGGGGGCCTGTACGTCATGGGCCCTGCCCAAGTGCCCTTGAGCCAGAGTGCCCACTGCCGGATTGGCTGGAGACCCTCGAACGCCCGAGTTTGAACCGATCGAGCTCGCCGAAGCTCCCAGGGGATAGATCCTGGACGAAAACACCGACGCTGCTGATTTCAGGCCCTACCACGCACCCCCGGACGGGCTTGGCTTCCTAGGATACTCGCGGAATAATCCAAGCCAGGGGGCGACCCGGGAGCCCCCAGGGAGCCACCCGGGAGCGGGTGTGACAAACGCCAACAATATCGAGGATGGCGCCCCCCCAACCCGGGAGCACCCGGGAGCCGCCGGGGGCCGATTTTTCGCCCGCCCAAAATCCGCGCCCTTTGGAACGAAATTTCACCCCAGATCGTACCCCGGGGAAGTCCTACTCGAAATCAACCTACAACCGCAGTTTTCCTTGATGGGAGCCTCGTTTCACCAAGCGCACTGACCGCTGCTGACCTTTGCTCCACGTTTCCTGCGAAAAGCCCCCTCTCCAGCCATTGCCGACGCCCCCTCCACCCCCTTCTTGGCGCGGAACTCTCGGGAACCTTCCGCGACCCGAGCCCCCCTGATAACAACGAAATAGATGAGGGGGCAGCTCGGACAACGTGGGTCGGAAGGAGATAGAAGGAGTGACAGAGGGAAGATGATGGAGGGAACGAGGCCGAAGGTGAGCGAGGGGAGGAGGGCGAATAAGCGAGGCAAGAGGGGGGATGGGGGAGGAAATCGGCGGGTCGAGGCTGAGGCTGTCTTCCTGCCTGAGACTGTCTCCCGTAGCTTACCCGAGTTGACGTGAAAGGTGCGAGAGGGCACAGCAGAGGCAGCAGAGGTAGGAAGAATAGGAGGGGGAGCGACGTTGGACACTGGATGTGCAAAGCGCGCAGACCTGACGAGTCAATGCGAACCACCATCAACGATACATGCGCTTGCTCAGTCAAGGTCATGAAAAAGAGCTTTGGCTTCCTCCACCTCATCATCAGCTGGCTTGAAAGCAGCATGGCCAAGTTTGTCAAGTCCCGCATCGTGGCCGTGCCACGCCCAAACACAATGCCACGCCGCAGCCGTCTGCTTATCGGGGAATCGGTGTACGAATCCGTATTTGAAACAACGGTAGTGGCCCCCTTCTCCTCTATTGCAGTACGCTACATAAACCCGCGGATTCCCAGAGGAGTGTGAACACCCATCGAACACACACATTGATATCCCGCCCGCGATGGCGGACGGGTATTGTCCTGGCAATATCATCCGCGGGGGCTGGCAGGGGATGCAAAACTTGCAAGGCTGTCCTCAACATACTTCGCAAATCTTCAATGGAATCCGTCCCGGGGCCACCGACTGGAGGCGGAAGCGGAGGAAGGTGGCGCATCCTCGAACGCCAAGACCCCTTCATCCTCGTCGTCGTTGGCCTGATCTGCATCCGCTAGCTGGGCGAACACCCTGTCAGAAGGTCGATCGCCCCCTTCTACGGCGGCTAGCAACTGCAACAACTTCTTCTGATCACGCAAAGTACACAAACCTCTGTAGTAATGCTGCGACATGTCGTGATGAATGGCAGGCAAGCCCAGATCGATGGGGATGCGACACAACACCTCGTCTGCAATAGCCAAACAGGAGAAATACCAGTTTGACGCTTTCAAGTTCAGAA